GGCGCGCGCCCCGGCGCCGACATGCACAGCGCGCGGCTCGACGGCCTCCTGAGCCAGCTCCGCTGGGAAATGGTGAGGCGTGGGGGTGGGTGTGGCACCGAGGACGCGTGAGGGGTGCCCGGCGCCGCCAGCCTGGGTGCCCACCCGAGCGCGAGGGGGCGGGGCGGCCAGATGGCCCGAGGCGGGTGTTAGACGGCCGCGAGCGCCTCCGGGCATCAGGTAGCAGCCGGCCAGCTGGCCATGCCGCCGGTCCGTGCGCGAGCAGGGTGGTTGGAGAGGACTTCTGGGCCGGCCGGGCAGGGTGCGCCAAGGGCCTGAAGAGGCCCGGTGCTTCTGTGGGCCCCCCGACGCAGGCGGCCTGCTTCCCTTACCCCCCGCCTGACAAGCACTCTCTCCGTCTCTGTACGACTCTTCGGGCTCTGGGATCTGCGTCCCCCCGGGAGGCGCAGGACGCCCCTCCCCAAAGCCGGCAGGACTTACTTCCCAGTGCAGGCCCTGAAGTGCAGGCCCTGACGGCGGGTGCTGACTTGCCCGGCCCTGCGTGCTGCAGCCTGCTGCACTGCCACCGGGTCTGCTCGACTGCCGGGGCCGCGGTCCCTGCCCTGTGCTCTCTCCCCGCTGCTGCCCAGGCCCGCAGCCCTCTGAAAGCCTCTGGGCCCTCTGTTCTCGGCTGATCGGGCCGGGCGCACAGGGGTGACCGCGGCACCCCTCCGACTTCTGCCCTCTCTTCCCCTTCAGCTGTGTAGCCGGAACACAGGCTCCTCCCCATTGCCTGGCCCCCGGCAGCCGCCCCCCAAAGCGGAGCCGGGTGTGCAGACCAGCCACCCGCTTGGGGCCTCGGACGCCCTGGAGGACTCTGTCTGCTATGCGGAGGAGGAGGAGGCAGCCTTGGTGACAGAAGACAGGCGCGCAGCCTTGGGGGGTCACGGGGAGCGCAGTCTGGACTGGGACTCGGGCTTCTCGGAGGAGTCGGGCAGCACATGGCGAGAAGAGGAGTTGCCCGTACCCCCGCGCCCAGGGTGCCAGGGCCGCCCCCGTCAGGGCCAGCGGCTCTCAGTCGGTGGCCTCCCGCTGTCCAGCATGGCATCTGTACCCAGCGCCCCATCTGCACACCGTCCACGGCCCAAGTCCACCCCGGACGCCTGCCTGGAGCACTGGCAGGGACTGGAAACGGACGACTGGACAGCAGCCCTGCTGAGCAGGGGTCGCAGCCGCCAGCCCCTGGTGCTGGGGGACAACTGCTTTGCTGACTTAGTGCACAACTGGATGGAGCTGCCTGAGGCAGCAGGCGAGGGGGGCGATGGAGGTGCACCCCGTGCTCGGCCTCGGCCCCCCCAGTTCTTGCTTGGCCTCTCTGAGCAGCTGCGGCGCCAGCTGGCCCGGGCTCGCCGAGCAGCCGTGGCGGGAAAGCGCCTCTCGTGCCCGCCTCGGCCGGACCCCGAACTGCCTGCCGACGTCTCGCGGTTTGCAGCCCTCATGCACTGCCGCAGCCGCCAGCCCATCATCTGCAATGATGTCAGCTACCTCTGACCCCGCCTCCACCGGGACAATAAAAGCCTTTTTCTACGCTGTTGTTCCATACCCCCGAGGCTGCAGAAGGCAGCTCAGCCCCACCGCGCCCGGCCCAGGCGAGCAAATCCGAAGTCTTTCTTTCCCTTCCATGTCACACCCGTGTGTTCCAGCGCCCCATGTCATCACCCGTCTTCTCCACTCAGGGCTTCCTTCAGCGAGTTTTATTGAGTGCCTGCTGGGGCCTCGGAGTCAGGGCTCTGCGCGGGGCTGCCTAAGCCGAGGGCAGCGCAGCCTTAGCACAGCTCGTAGTGCAGAGGTGGGAAGGCCGTGTCCTCCTCCTCGCCCTCGCAGCTCAGCTCCAGCACCAGCACCCGCTGTCCAGACCCAGGCGCCCAGCCTGTCACCTGCTGAACCCGTTCCGTCACCCTGGTATGGGGGGTGGTTGGAGATTAGGCAGGTGAACCGACGCAAACAGAGACAACCTGGCACAGACTTGCGGGTGCTGGTGAGCCCTCTGGAGCTCAAACCAGGAGCAGGAGTCGCTCAAGACAGGAAACATCTGAAACTATTTTAGGAGCAGCTGGCGGGGCGGGCAGGAGGCAGGAAGCTGCGGGTCCCCTGGGAGTGGGCCATGAAACGGGGGCTGGACAGGGCGTGGGGAGCCAGTGGGGGAGGCCGAGCAGGCAGCCCCTGAAACAGCCCCTCCTTCAAACCTTCAGCCTTGCCCCACCCCCAGCCCATTTGCTAGCTCCATTTGGTCAAAGTGCTTCGGGACGGTGTAAGGGGCCCAGGGTGGGGTCAGGAAGAAGAGAGACTGTATGTGCCTATCTTCACCCTGAGGAAGGCAGGGCCTGGCCGTAGCCAGGTGCAGGCTCACCTGAGGGGCAGGTACTGAGCCTGATTCTTAGGGGAGTCCTTGGCTGAATAGAGCAGAGCACCACCAAACAGCAGCATCTTCACCTTGAGCCCGTATTTCTCCTAGAAAACACAGGTCAGACGCCTGCTGGGCAGGCTGGGCAGAGCTGGGACAGAGTGGGGAAGGGACACACCTGGAGATGGGCCAGCAGTGACTCCAGCGTCCTCTCAGGCTGCCCAGCAGGCACCTTCAGGGGGTCCCAGCCGGTCCACTTTAGGTCATGGAACTGGGGGTGGAAGCCGGGAGGAGGGAGAGATTGCTCATCCAAGTTGCAACCCTGGTCCCAGTTCCTAGCAGCCTTCTTAGGGGAGGAGCTGGACTAGAGGCAGGAAGCGAGCCGGGAGTGGGGGGTGGAAGGCAGAATCTGGGCCCAAGCTGGGGCCAGCACAGGAAATGGGGCTATGGGGCCCGCACAGGGAAACAGATGATCCATCAGGCAGGCCAGTTGCTGGGGGTGGGGGCTGGGGGTGGTGCTTCCTGAGGAAGCCAGAGCCAGGCTGCTGTAGTCTCTGATAAAGCTGTGTGTTCCTCAAATGCAAGGTTGCACACATCCTCCTTGCCCATCCTTATGGGGCCTTCGACTACTCTTGTAAACACTGGGGCCAAGGGCACGGTGACCACCAAGCCCCTCTGGCCCACAGATCCCGGCAGGGACACATGCAGTCCACAGAGGCCTCCTCTTCCTGTCATTTCCTTCCCTTTTCCAAGAGACCTGAGGTTCTGGTGTCCAGAGCTGAAGACAGAAGAGGGGCCAGAGCCAGAGCCCAGGACAGGGAGGCCTTGCCAACCCCTTAAACAGCACACTGGGGTTGAGCTGAGACTGCGCTAGATGCAAGAAGGGGGCTCCCCCTGCCTCTCTTCCATGGACAAAGGCAGCCTGTGTGCTGCTTAGAGGTGGGGCACCTCACAAAGGGGCTCTGTGTCCTGTGTCCAGAGGGACCCTAGGGCTACCCAGCAAAGCCCAGTGCCGGCCAGTGACCTCTGCCCCAGTCCCTGGGCATCCCCTCTGCCCCCTTTCCCGTGCCTGGAGGAAACGGCAATTACTGCAGAGCCTGTGCACACAATGGGAGGCATTCCCGGCCCCTCACTCGTAGGAGCACACATGCACACAAGCCCAGGAACACCCACACGTGTACCCACATGCACAGCCTTGCGTGCCCACACTGAGGAAGAGCCCTGGACTCCCATCTGGCACACAAATGTGCAAGCTTGCTACCTCCATGCCCACACACCGGAGATGCCCCGACTCTGGCAAACTTATGTCTGCAACCCAAGCACACACGCCTGTGGGGCTGCAGACTCACACACCTGGTGGCCAGCCTGGTGCCCTTTAACCCAGCCTTGCGGGGACAGGCCAGGGCCCTGCAGGGAGGATCTGGACTCTTTCTGGGGCCGAAGCCCTGGCTCCCTTTTCCTACCTCCTCCCCCTTGCTAACAGCTCCCCACTCAGACACTGCTGGGAAGCAGGGGGCTGTGGGGATGTCTGGCTCCACTAATGAGTTAAAGCTGCAGCTCCCCCAGACCCTGGACTCTTTGTTTGTGGTGGGGGTGGGGTGGGGGTCCGCGTGTGAGGGGGGGGGAGTGGCTGATGGCTGCTTCCTGTGTCTGACAGGTCCCAGCCTGGTTTCCTAGCAGGAAGGGGGCCAGAGGGAGTCTTGAGGACTCCTTCACTATCTGGGTTCTAGAGAGCGCCTGAAAGCTGGAGTGGGCCTGGGCTTGCTTTTGTTTTTATTTTTGTACTGGAGATTGGAGCCAGAGCCTCCGCCAGCCCTTGTTTTATTTTGAGATAGGATCTCACTAAGTTGCTCAGACTAACCTCGAATTTGAGATCCCCTTGCCTCAGCCTCCTGAATAGTTGAGATGACAGGCCTGGGCCACCACAGCAGGCTTAGAGTGGGGCCTGTTTGGGTGGGCTCCAGGCAAATCCAGCATGGCTGGGAGTAGGGTGAGGTGTCCAGGGCTCACCTCCCGGATGGCTGGGGGAGAAGGTGCCGAGCGTTCGAGGCGGTTTTCAGCCAGGTCCAGGTAGGTATGACGAAAGGCCCGTGACGCGCCCACCACCTTGTACAGCTCCAGGCCCAGCAGGCCTGCCACCGCTGCTGTGGTGGTGGCAATGGCTGGGATGATCGGGCTCACCCTTCTCTTGCTCTGCCAAGGACAGGAGATCTGGTCTGGCCCACGGTGTGGCGCTTCAGCGTGGCCCGCATTTCCAGGCCTAAGCCCCAAGGGCTGGGGTTACCTGAGCAAAGTCTACTGGTTCTGAGATCCCATAGTTCTGAGCTCGCAGGCTGGCGGCTGCCCTCACAAAGTCTTTGCGGAAGCTGCTGTCTTCATCCTGCAAGGCACGAGTGACGGCAGCGTGGATGCCGCAGCAGCGCCCTCACCAGCCCCGGCCAGGTCTTGTCATATTCTGCGGCGGCGGGGGGCGGTGTTCCCCATCTCCCCTTCACCACACAATGAGGGTGAGGCTCAGGGAGGGGGAGCTGCTGGTAGGGCTCCGCTGGGAGGAGAATTCAGTCTACTCTTCTGCTCCTCGCCTTCCCCCACAATCCTCCCGGCCCAACTCCTCACCCCACGTGGAATCCCACCTTTTCAAACACCAGGGGCTTGAGGGCCGGGCCCTTGCTCCAGACTTCCAGGAATTCCTGCAGCTCAGGGCCTGTCAGGGGAGTAGGTGCTGGGTGTCCTTGGTCTGTCTCCTGTGTTCTTCCTGGAACGTGGTACCCATTCTTGGTGTCTGCCAAGCCTGTCACCACTTCCTGACCGGGCCCAAGGAGCCCACCGATTGACTGATGCTGCAGTACCCTCTCGGCCGTCCCTGCTCTGTGCATGTGCACACACCCGTGTGGCCGAAGTCCCCCAGGGCTTTTTTATTCTAACATTCCCCCAGAGGACTGGAATATGCGGTAGGCAGCAGGGAGAGGAGCTCCTGGTGGGGCCAGAAGGTGGGGCCAGAGAGAAGCGAGATGAGAGGGCCTGAGCAGTAGTGAGTTGGGTGTAGGGAGCCGGGGCCCATCTTCTTTCTGCAGCACAGGCTGAAGACAGGACCAGACCTTTGAGTGGCAGGGTGGGGGCAGGGCCAGGAGTCTCACCAGATTCAGCTAGTTCCCTAGCGGAGGGGGAGGCCAGAGGCGGGGAGTCAGTCTGTAGCAGCGACTTCAGCAGTGCCCTGAGTGCAATCTTATCCGATGAGCCAGGCAGCTCATGCATCTGGGCATACAGGTTGGCAGCTGCCAGTATGTAGAGGAGGTGCATGTCCTGCCGGCAGACCAGACCAGAGGCAGACGCATGGGTGGGAACGAGCACGTATGAGCGGACAGGGTGGGGCCCACTGCCCATCTGTGCGTCTGTGGCGTGCTTGCTTCACATGTGGACACACATATGTGCAGGAGCATGGCTCTCTCCCCATCTGTATATCTCTGTCTCAAGTCTCCCCAGAGGACCCCCACTCACTTGGCTGATGTCAAACTCCAGGGCCTGGGGACACTGTTTGGGACCTGACCAGAACAGAGTTCCATCCTCTTGCACCTAGGGACACAGAAGCTGCTAAGTCCAGTCCAGTCCCCCCAAATCCTCAGCCACGCAAGCCCTGACCACCCACTTTATCAGGTGGGAAGCGCCTCAGCAGCTGTACGATGTCATCACAGAAGCGGAGCTGCCAGTGGCCAAGGGCCCACACCACACAGTCTTGCCAGGTCCGTGGGCGCGCTCGCAGGACACCCCGCACCAGGTGCAGTGAGGTCAGCATGGGTGGCTCACCCACATCGGCCGGGGAAGTGGATGCCCTGCTGAGAGAGGAGAGCTGGAGGCTGAGCCCCGGCTCAGAGCCCTGGACTTCCCTCCGCCCAGCTGGGGCGCTTACTGTTGGTAGCGGTTGATGGTCTCTGCAGGTAGTCGGAAGAGTCCCTCAAATTCATTCCAAGCCCACTGTGGGGGAAGGAGGACCGTGAGCCGTCGGAGGAGGAGCAGCAGCCCTGCAGCTGAGCGCTGAGCTGGGGACGGGGCACGCGCTCACCTGCAGGGTGTGCTCGGAGGTGCTAGGGAAGTTCCGCACGGTGCAGACAAGGGTGGGGGCGTCCTCGGAAGCTTCAGCTGAGGCAGGGCCTTTATAAACCTCGGTCACGCCTGGCACGAACACTGAAGCGCTGCCCTGAGTGCCCTGTGTGCCTGCCTCTAGCAGTGGCTTCAGGTAGTGGGTGCAGCGGGCAGCCAGGTAGTGCCCTGGCAAGGAGCAAAGGGTCAGAGTGGGACTGGCACAGACTTGGGCAAGGCGCCAAGCTCTGAGTTAAGCACTCACGGGCCTCGAAACTGTCCACGGCAGCAACCACACCATCGACACAGGAGAAGAACTCGTCTCCATAGATGTTCTCTGTGGTGTGAGCCAGGACTTGGGTGTGCGCAGTCACCTGTAAGTCTGGGTTCAGATCTCGGGTAGCTGCCGCCGCCACCTCCGCCTTGGGCTTCTGTGAAGGGAGAAAGACCTAGGGTACTGGGGCATCACGGGAGGGCAATCTAGGACATAGCGTAGGAGGGGCTGGCACTTACACCAACGTCCTGGGGCCGGAAGAGGAACTGACGGCTGAGGTTGGAGCGCTCAACGTGGTCCAGGTCTACAACAGTCACGCCTCCACTGGCTGCAGCTCCCAGGCCCACCAGGGCAAAGCCTTTGAGTAGCTCACAGCCAATGGCACCAGCACCCACCTGTTGTGAGGAGTAGCCTTAACGGGGGGCCCTGAACTGGCCCTCCCAAAGACACGCCCGCCCTCACCCCACAGCTCACCAGGAGGTAGCGCTGGTGACTCAGCGTCTCCTGAAAACCAGCCCCAAACACTGCCATTTGGCCGTCATAGCGACACTCTTTCTAGAGGACACAGAGAGGGGTCTGTGCTGGTTGCCAGCCTAGGCTGCATCTCCTTGCTTCACTGCGTTGCTGACTCAGGACCTCAGGACCACACCTCATGCTTCTCCTCCAACCCTGATTCTGGACAAGGCTCGCACCCCCACCCAAGTCTCACCGGGGCACAGTCCTCAGGATTGGGAAGGAATTCCTCATCTTCTGGAAGACAATCAAGGGCATCAAAGTACAGCCACTGGTCCAGGGGCATGAACTTTCTGGAGATTGCCTGGGGGGTGACACTTCAGTCTCAGGGCATTCGTCAACTCCTGAGCCCCTCAGATCCAGAGGAAGCCTGCAGCTAAGTTGGTGAACCTCCTAGGGCTGGCACACACTGACCCATGAGCCTCCCCACCCATGCCCTTCCCCTGTCTGTGCCCACCTTCAGGACCTCCTGGGCAGCCACTGCTCCCAGAATGGCTGCCATGGGGCTCAGGATGCCAGCACTACTCAGGGCCACTTTCCACAGTAGGGCCTCGTCCAGCGGCTCTTCTTCTGCCCCCTTCAGTGGTCCCAGGTCCCGGGCAAGGGTTACCATGATCTCTGCATCAACCTGTGGGATGGGTCTCTGTGGCAACAGCATCCCAAACCTGAGTGCCACCCTCCACACAGAGTCTTCAGGCAGAACAGCCCTAAGCGGGAAGGCCTGGCACAGTTACCAGCCTGGGTAGCACCACCAGCGGATGCCCAGAGCAAGACAGAAGCTTGGAAGACTGCCAACCTGGGTGCAGCTTCCAGCTTGGATAGGACAGAACTGAGATCACAAAGCTGTGTGCCTGGCACTTCCATGGCCCCAACATCTAGTCTAAAATAGTGGCTTTCAGCTGGGTATAGTGGCATACGCCTGTAATCTCGGTTACTTGGGGGGCTGGGGCAGGAGGATCACAAGTGTGAGGCCAGCCCAGGCAACTTACTGAGACCCTGTCTCAAAACAAAAACAAAGACCAAAAAAGAGCTGTGCATGGTGGTGTACACCTGTAATCCCAGCACTCAGAAGGCGGAGGCAAGAGGATCGCTGAGAGTTTGAGGCCTGCCTGGCTATGTAGTAAGAGCCTATCTAAAAGAAAAAAGAAAGAAGAAAGGAAGAAAAGAAAGATAGAAAGAAAGAAAGAAAGAAAGGGAAGGAAGGAGGGAGGGAGATAAAGAGTGCTTGCCTAGCATGTGGTACAATACCCTAAGTACCCTAGGTTCATTCCCCACTACAGCATCCCCCAAAAGATAATGGTTTTCATGTCCCTTTTTTTGTCCCTTTTTTGAGTGGAGGCACTGCCTTTGGGGTATCAATGTGGACCCATGAGTGGTCACAGAGGTGAGGTCTGGTAGGTGAGACTCCGGCTAGTCAGGCCGGAGGTGGTGCGGTGGGTACTCACGGGGTCCCAGGGCCGCAGCGGCCGGCCGTGGAGGTGCTGGAACTCGTGTAGCGCACGGAAGGCTTGATGTAGGCAGCGGGCACGGCGGACTTCCCAGGCACTTGGAGCCACGACACAGGGCTGGAGCAGGGCCCTGTCCAGGGGCTTCTGCAAGGGGCAGTTCAGCGTCAGCGCCAGTCACTGCCCCCCCGGCCCCGCTGCTCACGTGCTTGCCCCTCAGGTGCACACACACTCACATGTCTCACAGTCGCAGGCCTCTTGACTTCAGTGACAACCCCACCGTGTAGGTAAGGGGAAAAAGCTGACGTGTCCCCGATCTCCAAGGACCGATCCTCTGGGAAAGATCCAGCTATAGGTTAGGACCCTGAGCCTGAGTGGGTTCTCACTCCCATCCTACCTTGCATGATATGTGTCTGATACCTTGCTGCACCCTGGGGAAGGGGAAGGGAATCTTGCTCCAAGGACTGGGTATGTGCACCCCCACAGGGATGGAGGGGTCGGCTTACTCTGCACACGGATGGGTCGGGGAAAACAGCCATTGAGCTCAACCATGCCCTCGATGCCTGAGAAAGTCACCAAGTCCCCATCACAGAAAGAGTGCTCCTTGTCTCTTCCTCTCAGAGTGAGGATGCCAGGGAAGCCCTGGGTGAGAGGTGGCTTGGCTCAGGGGTGCCCGTACCTGCCTTGCACAGGCCCTGGCACCCCTTCTCTGACCATATCCTTGCACCTACCTGGGTGATGTGCTGGATGCCAGCTGTCAGGGGTTCCACCTCTGTAGGGTCTTGCACTGTGAACTCCTCACCAAAGTCACAGAACAACTGCCTAGTAGGAAACGGCAGGGTCACTGAGGTAGCTCACAGATTGTAATTAAGGACAGGGAACACTAGGACAGGCCCTGAGGGCTCACACTGAAAAAGAAAGCAGAGAGAGACCTGGAAACTAGAGTTTGGGGTGGGGCTTAGTACAGATCTGCAGGCTGGAGTGCGGGGGGCCAGAGAGGTGGAACTGGGGACCAGAACTGGGAGAGATGATGGCACAGGCCTGAGGCTGGGTAGGGGTCCCCGGAGCAAATGCATAGCTGTGGACAGCATGTGAACAAATGCTGGCTAAGATGCGCTAGGCTGGGCAGCCAGTCTTACCCCACGAGGCCCCGGGTGTCAGTCACTAGAAAGCAGATTCCATGTTTGTGGCACAATCCACCCACTGTCAGCTGTTCCTCCAGCTTTGAGGCAGTCAGCACCACCACCTAGGTGAACACCGTGATTAGCAGGGCCAGAGCCACTGCCCAGCCCTCCCTGCTGCTGAGGGCTGGTGTGAGGGTCGGCTGGCCTGGAAGCTGGGACCAGGGAGAGCACCTGGAACTTCAGCAGTAGGTCCTCAGTGATGCCACTGGTGTGGACAGAGACCCGGACAGCTTCATTGAGTTGAGCCAAGCGTTTCTGAGAGGCCTCAGCCCTGCTCTTTCCCAAATCCGTCTCTGAGAGAAAAAACTAGGGAGAGACCCAGTACAGCCTGAGCAGAGACTCCCTAGGTCCCGACCCCACTCTGATTTGAGAACCGAAAGCTACCATGGGCCCTTACCTGAGAAGCCAGGTCAGACCAGCAGGTGGGATGGGGATCATGCAAGGTGAGGCTGCCCACACCCATCAGGACCAGGTTCTTGGCCACCTCAGCCCCCAAGCCTTGCAGGCCTGACAGCAGGACCCTGGCTTCTTGAATTCTCTGCATGGCAGGTAAGCCCAGCACAGGCCTGTGGGTGGGCAGCAGACAGGCAAGCAGTTGAGACCAGAAATTGGAAGGCCACCCACTCCCTCCCCAACCACAAGGCTCACAGCTGCCTGGAGTACAGCTCCCTGTCCAGCCACTCGGAAGGCTCCGGAACAGCCATCTGCAGGCCTGGGGCTCAACAGCAGCTGCAGTGCTCACAGCTCCGGCTCTGGAGGAAGAAGCACCAGCAGAGGCTGCAGCTCGCAGAGACAGGCACCGTGCCAGGGAGAGAAGAACGCTGCTGGCCTTTTCCTGATTCCTCTTTCATTTCAAGAGGAAACAAAAGTGAAAGCAAAACTAGACTGTGAAACTAGCCAGTCGGATCCTGGCTCCCTATCAGCACAAAAGTCAGCCCTCAGCCAGCCAAATGGGGTCTCCCCCGGGAGGGGTCCCAGCGCTGCAAAGCGGTGGTCCTTCTGACGGGGGAGGTGTGCAGCAGCCAAAATCACATGTGTTCTGATTTTTTCTTTAAACTCTTTATTTTTGAAATAATTGTAGACTCACAAGAAGTTGCAAAAATATTAGACAGAGTTCCCTAGTATCCTTCCCAGGCTTGTCTTTTTGCCTTCTTAGGTACTTGCAGCAGGATTTCTGGAGGACAGACCACAGCTCCCCACAAAACTCCATGACAGCTAAACCAAGAGCTGTCATGGGAGTTGCTGTCGTTTGTTTTTGCAGCAGGGGGATAGAACCGAGGACGTTTGCATTGAGCTACATCCCCAGCCCTTCCATTTTTTTAAAAAAAAATTTATTTCGGAACAGAGTCTCACTGAGTCACTAAGTTACCCAGGCTGGGCTCTAACTTGTGATCCTTCTCCCTCAGCCTTCTGGGGTGCTGGGATTACAGGCATGAGCCACCATGCCTGACCATAAATTGGTGGGTATTTTTAAAAACTCAGGTGAAATTTGTGTAACAAAATAAACCATTTTAGGGGGTTGGAGATACAGTTCAGTGGTAGAGCCAGCATGTATGAGGCCCTGGCTTCAATCCCTGGCATCATTACAAAAAAATTTAAAGTGTACAATTTAGTGGCATTGGCCAGGCATGGTGACACACACCTGTACTCCCAGTACTCAGGAGGTTGGAGCAATAGGATTGCTGTAAATTCACAACCAACCTGGGCTACATAGTGAGTTTTTAAGGCCAGCCTGGACTGCATGGTGAGACCCTGTCTCAAACAAAACAAAGCAAAAGTTTTCATCTCCCCAAAAGAACACTTCAAATAATTACAACTCACCACCCACTCCCAGGGTGATCCTTCAACAAATACTGCTATACTTTCTGCCTCTAGAGATTTGTCTATTTGGGATATTTCATACAGAAGAAGTCAGTGGCAAGCAGAAACACTGAACAACACCCAGGATTTGGAGACAGATTTATTTTATGTCAATGGGCACTGATTAGGATCAGTCAGAAAATATCAGGCCCTAATCGTTGGTGGTGTCAGGCTTATATGGTATAAGCAAGCAGGAAGTACAGGGGCAGAATGGCTTGTCAATTGGGGATTGGGTCTTTTTTTTTTTTTTTTTTCTGAGAAGATATTTATTCACAGGCATGGTCGCGATCTCTTCCCTTGACATAGGGGAAATATAATTCCCAACCTGCTAGATGTCAAATATGCCCAGTTCATGTCCCCTGAATATAATTTTTTTTATTTTAAAGAGTAAAAGAAGGATAACATAGTAATAGGGGAGGCTTACCAAATTACAGACAAAATGGTAGGACATTATCAATGGTTGTTGTTTTACATATTTTTATCTACAAGATAGTTTCTCAGGAAAACAAATAGACAAATAATAGTGAGTTATAGACAAAAGAGGTAGGAGATTATCAATAGTTGTTGTACTATACTTTGGTGTCTTCAAAGTGGCTTCTAAAGAAAATAAATAGAGCTATACATGAGTGACCAATTGAATAATCATTAACTATTCTCAATGGTTATTGTAGGAAGCACATAATAATAAGCATACATCCATTTACGAAATAGGATAGGAACAATACAAACATTACAGAGTTATGGACAGATTATTTAGGAAAATATCAGTGGCTGCTGTAATACATGGTGGTATCTTCAAAGTGGTTTCTCAGGAAAACAGAGATACGCAAGAAAGATCTAACAAGTAGTTACAGCCTAAGGGTAGTCAAAAATAGCATATTACCTCCTCACCAGTGACTCCTTTCACTGAGGTATGACAGCTAGAAGAAAGGCCAGGATTGAAAAGAAGGACTGAGAGACTTGCACCTGTGTCTAGCAACAGGCTGTTTTCTTGTTCCTCTATAGTCATGATTACCCGGGGCTCCTCCATGGAGATGACAGTCTGGCCAGAGGGAGAAGGCAGAGTATGCCCCGGGCCCTCTCATTCCTGTTGGACTAACTAGTAGGATGGGTCTGAGCTCTGGGGCCTCTGCTTCAGAGGGCAGACCGATCTCCAGTGGTCACCTCTGCATTCGGGGCATGGCCCAGGGGGCTTCTTCAGGCAGTTCCTCTTGAGGTGGCCTGGCTTTAACTGTGGTAGCAGATGAATGTAGTCGTTGAGTTCTTCTTGGGGCCCCAAGAATCAGACTTAGGGTCTGTTTCTCTTAGTGCTGCAGCAAAAGCAGCTGCTTTTTCTTGGTGTCTTTGTTTTCTCTCCTTGGCCTCCTCCTTGTCACGGCTATAAAATACTGAGCAGGCAATTCTTACTAACATCTCAAGTGAGCCATCTGGGGTGAAAGCCATTTATTGTAGCTTTTTCTCTCCAGCCTCCCATCACTTTGGGACCCCACAAGCAGTTAGTGTCCTCTCCCCAACCATCAGTACAGGCAGCAGGAATCTCAGTGCAGACCTCTCTGGAGCTCCACATGCGGGGACTGGGTCTTACAATATGCACCATACCAGCTATGTATCACAGCGTCCAGCCATCTCTAGGAGGCAGTAGTAACAGGACCTCTTACCTGGGCAACTAACAGACTGGCTCGGGAGACATTTTCTGTTACACCCTCCCCCTTTAGATTCCCTGGAAAATCTTTGCTGGACATATTACATGTGATCTTCTAAGACAAGGCCCAACTAGAAGTAGTAACATTAGGGTTGTCAGTGATTTGAGGATGGACCCTAGCCAAGGTTCCCCAAATTGTCTTATTACAGAGTTTTTCCCTAAATTGCTTTTTAGGAAGAGACATAATTTAGGCCTGTCCTATAATATTACTCTGGCAAGGTAGTGAAGGAGTTAATCTGATCTAGGGCAGTGTCCAGTGTTCTTTAATGTTCATCAAATCTTGGTCAAGTGTTTGATTGATTGTTCTATTCTCTTGGGGTAATTGTCCATAGAGTTTAAGGCTAAAACCACAGCTAGCAAGGGGATGGGGAAGCAAGGCCTGGGGTAAGCAAAATAGGTGTGGAGCAATCCTGTGAATGGTGTCCTCAAGCTTCAGCCATGCATGGACTGGTCAGCACCCGGAGTGACCAGAGCAGGACTTTGAGTGCCTCATCTCTTCAGAGTGAGCTTCAGTGGAGCTGTCTGGTCCATGTTAACTCTCCAGAACTCTGGAATGGTGGATCTAAAACTGAATTTCTGGAACTTGTAGAGGTAGTTAATATTCACTTGGGTTATATGTGTGTACAGGGGTGTCTAAGGTATAGCTGGTCTTTTAGCTAAATTTTTGTGGAGCTAGTTATAAGCTGTTTCTTTAACTTTGCTAGAGTTTTGTGGCCTGTATGCTGTATGTAGTTTTTATTTAATCTAGTTTTTGAGTTACATCTGCTACAAATATAGGCTCTCTGTCACTGCCAGTGTTTAAGGGTAGACCATATCTAGGGATGATTTTTCACAGCAGGACCCTATAAACTTTTGTAGTCCTTTCAGCTTGGGTAGGGAATGCCTCAGGCCAGCTTGAGTAGGTGCAGACCAGCACTAAGTCTATCTGTATATCTTAGGTCAGGGCCAATGACATAGATGCTGAAGCCTGAGCTGGCTGCAGGGATACAGGTGCCAGTGCTGTGGCTTGAACTTGTAGAACATACAATGGGGGCAGGTCTGGCTCTAATTAAGATGAGTCTTCCGTGAGGACCAGGTAAAGTTTTCTGACCTGGGTTGATGTTTCAGTCAATTACATCCTAATCCCAACCTGGGTTTAGGAGTGCAGGAAGCAGTAGCAGGAGAACTTTAGCCAAAATAGCTTTGTCCAAGGTGACCACAGCATATCTAGCTTGTCAACCCCCTTTCCTAACAGAGCTACTTCCCTCTACAAACAGGGTGTACTCAGCATCTGTCAGGGGGTTCATTTTAAAATCGGTTGGCTTGAGGATGTGGCAGGATTGAGTGGTCCAGTTATTCAAGAGGTCCAGTACAAAATGTGGCACTTGGACAGTTAGGTCTCCACCTAAGATGAGCTTGTCAGTTTTTTTTATCAGAAAGAGTGGCTAGTACAGCATGAAGGCAAGGGGAAGGCAGCCCTTAGTGGCTGGATCCAAGTAATTGGGCACTCCCAGGGGCTGACAGTCTGAGTAAGCATCATTCTTTTTGTCACCTCAAGGATCCAGATTCCATAGAAGCCAGAAGCTCTAAAAACTTTGAAGATTTCTTTCTTGTAACTAGTTTCTGCCAGATATTGCAGCAGAGCTTTTGTGGCTTTCCAGCAGGCAGCTTGTGTGTCATTAATCAGAAGGGCAGTGATATTCTGTGCTGGGAAACCAGTGAGGTCAGCTATAAGGGCTTCTCCAAGAGCGTAAACTAATTTTTGAAGCTCTGAGAGGCTGAGTCCAGGTCAATTGACTTTTGATTCCAGAACTTGGGTCTTTTCATTTAAGGGCAAAGAGGGGCTGGCTGACAGGAGCCAATTGAGAGTAGAGCAAGGCATTCTTTAGGTTCTGGCAGGTGTACCAGCAGGCTGTGGTTAGCAGAAGACCAAGGTGGCATTGACAGCTCAGAGATCCTGAACTGGATGATATTCCCCACTTGGTTTCTTTACAGGCAGTTTGGCAGTTTGAAAGTCTGTAAACATTTTGCAGTTTTGAAGCCTCTGGATATATGGTTGAATTCCTAGTTGAGTGTTTCCTGGCACAGGGTACTGTTGGCTCAGAGGTCCGTGACGGAGCTGGGAGGGACAGATAAACAGGCTGCCCCAGAGAGAAGGTGATGGGAACTTGGCCAAATCTGTTATCAGAGCCTCCCTGAAAATAGTGGGAGAGCTTTGTGGCAGTTGAGTCCAAGTGAGCTGGCCTTTTCATCTTGTCTCAGGATCTTCTTATGGCAGCAACCTGCAAGCAGAAGA